TTCTAAGAAACTCCAAGATCCCCAGCAGTAGAGATACCAGCTAAAGACAAACTCGGCCAATGGTCAAATGGCTGGAATGGTCACAGAGCTCACTGTGGTCCAGAGCATGCTGGTCAGGGGAAGTTTCCACCTTGGTGCCCTCCTCAGAGCAAGCCCCCAGCTCCTTGCTCAGCGTCTTTTCCTGGTTTCTCAGAGTCTGTGAGTTCCTCAATAGCAGAGGCCATTTCTTATTACTCTCAGCATCCAGTGCCCAAAATTGTCTAAGAGCATCCGAGACAGTGTCCTGGGTTGGTGGGAACACAGATGGCCCTGACTCACTGCTTTGACCTTCCTGAGATTCAAACTCTTCTCATTCTGCTCCTTCACATCTCCGGTGACCTCCAATCAGAGCCTGATGTGAAGAGCCGACCCATTAGAAAAGGCCCTGATGCTGGGAAAGATGGAGGGCAGGAGGAGAAGGGGACAACAGAGGACGAGATGGTTGGATGGCATCACTGACTCAATGGATCTGTCCTTTTCGACGTTCTCCCAGGTTGCCCGCTGCCCCTTGCCTGGCCCACCCGGGCTCTCCCTCTCGAAGACAGGCCGCCGCAGGTGGACGGGCTTTCCCTCAGCCTCTGCAGGTGTCCCCTGCAGGTTCCAGCCAGTCCCCACAGCATAGCCCTGGGTGACAGCTGTTCTTTGCTCGGGGGCCGAACAGAGGGAGAAAGGCAGTTGATGTCCACAAGTGCAAGTTCAGACTCAGAGATCTCTCTGTGGGCAGCACCCCATGCTGAGGGTGTGTGCGCGCTCATGTGTGTGTGTGTGTGTGTGTGCAGCTGTGTATTTGTGTGCAAGTCTGTGGGCTTCCCAGATGGCACAGTGGTAAAGAATCTGCCTGCCAATGTAGGAGACACAAGAGACGTGGGTTTGATCCCTGGGTCAAGAAGTTTCCCTGCAGGAGGAAATGGCAACTCACTGCAGTATTCCTATCTGGAAAATTCCATGGACAGAGGAGCCAAGCAGGCTATAGTCCATGGGGTCGCAAAGAACCAGACATAGCTGAGTGACTGAGCATGCATGCACACACATGTATATGTGCAGGGGTGAGTGTGTGTACATGTGGGTACGTGTGAGCTATGCAGGATGTAATTTCCAAAACTAAAGTGGACTTCTTCCTTCTTGGCACATTCTTTTAGATGAAAAAATTTTACAGAAGCATAAAAATGAAATCACATTCAGCTACAGTTCCAGTGGATCACCTCTGAAAAAAAGAAAATGAAATTACCTTCCATGAAATTAGTGGTCTTCTAAGAAACTCCAAGATCCCCAGCAGTAGAGATACCAGCTAAAGACAAACTCGGCCAATGGTCAAATGGCTGGAATGGTCACAGAGCTCACTGTGGTCCAGAGCATGCTGGTCAGGGGAAGTTTCCACCTTGGTGCCCTCCTCAGAGCAAGCCCCCAGCTCCTTGCTCATCGTCTTTTCCTGGTTTCTCAGAGTCTGTGAGTTCATCAATAGCAGAGGCCATTTCTTATTCCTCTCAGCATCCAGTGCCCAAAATTGTCTAAGAGCATCCGAGACAGTGTCCTGGGTTGGTGGGAACACAGATGGCCCTGACTCACTGCTTTGACCTTCCTGAGATTCAAACTCTTCTCATTCTGCTCCTTCACATCTCCGGTGACCTCCAATCAGAGCCTGATGTGAAGAGCCGACCCATTAGAAAAGGCCCTGATGCTGGGAAAGATGGAGGGCAGGAGGAGAAGGGGACAACAGAGGACGAGATGGTTGGATGGCATCACTGACTCAATGGATATGAATTTGCACAAACTCTAGGAGACGGTGAAAGACAGGGATACCTGGCATGCCATAGTCCATGGGTCACAAAGAGTCAGATACTACCGCATGACGGAACAGCGCCAAGGCCTCACAGCCTCCTTGAAGACTTGGGCTCCAAGTGGACTTGGGAGAGGGCCGTATTCGGAGCAACCCCCAACCCCCTTCTGAGCTGAAGCCGCCTAGGAGCTCCGGTGTGGGGGTGAGTCCTGGGGTCTTGGTGGTGTGGCCCTGGCGCAATTCTCACCCTTGCCTGGAAGCCCTGGGCAGAAGACGGAACTCCCCACTCACTACAGTGAGGGCGGCGCTTATTACCTGTCGGGTCTGACAGGTGTCACGAGCTGACACCCCCGTGGCCAAGGGGAAGGCAGCCATGTGAGGGCTTGGGTCCACCAGCTTCTGTGAGAGTGTTGGCCATTATTCTTAATTACTGACATGAACAACCAATTTATTACCAATATGAAGAGTGCGATCCTCCTTGTAGTTGTACCATGATGGGGAATTCAAGGTAGTAGTAGTGTTTTGCTTTTGGAAAATTCAAAGATACAGATTATTATTTTTTTTTTTTGGTCACACCTTGCAGCTTGTGGGATCTTAGTTCCCTGCCCAAGGCTGAACGCAGGTTAGTGTGCCGTCCTAACCACTGGACTGCCAGGGAACTGCCAAGGATGTTGTTGTTTAGTCGCTAAGTCGTGCCTGACCCTGCGGCCCCAGGGACTGCAGCCCACAGGCTCCTCTGTCCATGGGATTTCCCAGGCAAGAACACTGGAGTGGTTTGCCATGCCCTCCTCCAGGGGATCTTCCGGACCCAGAGCTCGAACCTGAGTCTCCTGCGTTGGCAGGCGTGTTCTTTACCACTGAGCCACCAGGGAAGCTCCATTCTCAAGGACACAGATTCTTAATGAAGACTCATCTCCAAAGATGCTCTGGTCGCCTCTCTAGAGGGTGGCCAGTGTGGGCCAGGGATCTGCACTCCGTGCTTAACCCCCTGCTCTGACCCCAGCTCCTCATCTCAGTAGGAGGATCAAGGTCACAGCTAATATCTGCAAGCCCGGGTGCTATCACAGCCACCCCTGGCCCGGCTGCTCTTGGCTCCTGAACCATGGCCGCTGGTGGACTCAGAGCCCTTCCTTACACTGTTGCCTATCCCGACTGCCCTCCCCGCCCAAGGCTGCATCTCCCCTTTAGACCCCTAGCCTGTGACTCCAGGCAGGGGAAGGGCAGGTGGTTGATGCTTCTGATAACTTCCTGGAGTCCCATTTCCTGGGAGGCCTTTTGTAAATCCCTCCCTGCTTCTTCCAGTTTGGGTCAGTGCCCCATTGCCCTAAGACACGAGCCTCTCCCCCCAACACACCCCTCTCCCAATCCTTGAGTGCAAAGCCCCGCCCATGCACAGAGCAGACGCTCAGCAGACACCCAGGCGACAGAACCAAACCTGTGAGAGGCGCTGATGGCAAACACGAAGGCTGCCCCGCAGAAGGCAGGCACCCTGGCCCGAGGCTCTGCTGCTTCCACCGGTGTCTGCTGCGTCTGCACCAGAGGAGCCTGGCTCGGACGGGACCCCCGGGTTTGACTTGGGCTTCGTGATCTGCCTTCCCACTGCACAAAAGTGGCCTGGGGTCTCCCTCCTTGATTTTCTCCTCTGCCTTCCCTGTCTCTTTAGGAGGAAGCAGTGACCCCAGAGGGTCTTCTAGGGCATCTTTGCCACAGAGAAGCAGGCCAAGGCCCAGGGAGCAGGCAGACGCCCAGGGTTGTTGGGTGTTAGGTACTCTGGGGGCCCCTCTTCGGATCCAGCTGTAGAATTTCAACAACGGTGGGGCTACATAGCAGGTGTGTGTGTGTGTTAGTCACTGAGTTGTGTCTGACTCCTTTTCAACCCCATGGACTGTAGCCCACCAGGCTCCTCTGTCCATGGAATTTTCCAGGCAAGAATGCTGGAGTGGGTTATCATTTCCTTCTCCAGGGGATCTTCACGACTCAAGGATCAAACTCACTGGGGCCCAAAACCCCTACATAAAGGTTTGGGGTGCTGGAGGGAGCTGGGGAGCTGGGTGGTCAGGGTCAGGGGTGCCCCTGAAAGCTTCTGGAAACCTGGGCATATACCTGATAGGCAGAAGCTGATGAAAGGAAAGGTTGGGTGTTAACACTGTGCCTTAGCCTGGGACCCCCCACGCTCTGCACCCCCCCCCCAGTGGTCCCTGGGAGCAGCCTTGGGTCAGCTCGGCCCAGCGCGTGCCCCTCCCCAGCACAGGCGCATCACTCCAGGGCCCCGGGGTCTGCGTGTCCCGGCGAACACGGCCAGGCAGAGGGTACAGTGGGCAGTGATGGCTGCAAGGATATCAGACAGAAGTCCCTCCCCCCGCCCCCGCTCCCCTTCAGGCGGAGCAGGCCTTTCCCCTGGCTCGGGTCCAGCCATCACCCGGCCACAGCGATGGTGGATGGGCCGAGAGGTCCTTCTTGTCACACCCACCCCCTCACTTCAGCCTCAACCCAACAGGCAAACCGTGCCAAGAGGCCCCGGGCCTCTTCCTCCACGAGTGAGACGGCGGGTAAAGCTCCAAGGGCAGAGAACATCCCGTCTCCCCCTGCGGCAGGGGCAGCCTGCTCTGGCAAAATCCCCAAGGAGGCCCCTGGGGTCGATCGGGCATTTCTGCCGCCTCCGCCCTGACCACCTAGCACCACCGGAAGGCCCTCTGCTTCGCGGGGGACTGGAGCCCGCGCGCCACCCAGTGGAGAGGATGGGCAACTGCACCGACCTCTCAGTTTCCCAGCTCGAGCTGGCTCCTTAATTCTTTTCTCTCAAAGGGCGTCTCCGGCTTCCCTGGCGGCTCAATCTGCCCGCGGCGCAGGAGACCCGGGTTCGATTGTTTGGGCTGCCATGCCTTCCTCCAGGGGATCTTCCTGACCCAGGGATGGAACCTGAGTCTCCTGCATTGGCAGACGGGTTCTTTACCCCTGAGTCACCAGGGAAACCATTCTTACTGAAGTGGAAATTATGCCACAAACCCAAGCGCTGGAGCCAGATGTGGCGTCTCGGGGCAGCTGCCCCTGAAGCAAGGCTGGGTGGGCTGGGCCTGGGGCCCCTCCACGGGTTGGAGCTGTGGGGTCTTGGTACAACTGTTGGGACCTGTGCCATGGTGGCCAGCCCCAGTGGTGAGGCCACAAAAGAGATGAGCTCCAGGCGTTTCACTGTAGAAACCACTTTTATTTGGATGTGACTGCTCAGGAAATACTGAATATCCCAGACAGATGACAAGCTGGAAAGTCACAGATGAACGGTGGCTTTTCAAGCTACGGGGTGATTAGAAGGTGAGCCGTCAAGGCATGAAGCCAATTTTCTCTCTGGTGATCTCCCCGTCTTCCTGACCCTCTCTCCCCCAGAAGCAGAAAAAAGTCAATCCAAACTGTAAGCCCTCAAACTGGCTCAGACAAATCACTCCCACATAATAACTTATTGCATTTCAGACTGGCAGCAGGTCCATGCAGTTGGGGGGCTGAGCCCTGGCTCTCCTCAGAGTCTGAGCCAGACAAACGCCTGGACCCCAGCACGGGGCCGGAAACACCAGACGGCACAGCCTGCCTTGGAAAACAATTTAGTTGGGTATCCAGCACTGTGATTTTACATTTCTCTGTGCCTTTTCTCGGAGAATGCCCGTGCCCCAGGCCCCTGGAAGCCCTTCACTGCAGGAGGCTGGCTGGACGGTCCAGGCCCCACCCAGCCGGACCACTGTGGGGAGGAGGCTTGAGAAAGAGCAGGGGCCCATGGATGGGGTCCTTTCCAGCCTCCTTGATATCCTCCGTGTGACCGGAGCCCAGAGGAGAATCCTGGCACATAATGTCCTTCTTGCTTTCTTGATGGTCTTTTCTGAGGGACAGGGAGGGGGGTCTGGAGGCCTGACCCAGGCGTCCTGCAGCCCTGAAGTTCTCTGAGCAGCCTGACTTACCGAGAATCAGAAAAATGGATTGCAGCCTTCCCTGTCCGACCCCTCCTCTCCTCCCAGGTCTTGCTATATAACAATTTTGTAGTCGGGCCCTTATTTTCCCCACAAATCTACCCTCAGATTTCCCTTGGCTCCTAAAACTGTAGAGGAAAGAGGAAGTGGACATGAATTGGAGTCAGGCAGTGTGGGAGGGGGCAGCTGGTTTGTACCAACGCTGCAAGGAAGAGGCAGGGTCCCGGAGCAGGAGCAAGGTCTGTGGTTCTTCAGAATGAAGGCTTTCACAGCACCATTTGATTTTAAGAAAATAATGCATGTTCTCATCAGTCAGCTGTGGGGAAGCTCGTTGCCGAGGCAGATCCCCAAAGAGGCAAGATGATGGTAGACCTGGAATTTTCCGCATAAGATGTTAGGTTTCTAGAAGAGCGAGGGTCACTGTCAGAAAATCCCAAGAGACAGTTACTTTCCCTGGGCGAAACAAAACAAAATGAAACAACAACAAAGTCCTCCCCCCCCCCCAGCCTTTTCATATTCATCACAATGAATTAAAATGTCCAAACAGATCTGCCAGCGTGTGATTTCATCACTCAGTCTGAAAAGATGGTCTGTGGATCCCGTGATGTCATCGTTGGTGAGCTGTTTATCATCCAGATGGCGAAGGTTGAAAACCACTTTTGGAAGCTGACACTCCTGGTTTTGAAAAAGCATCTTCCACATCGCCTGGTCCCCTGCTTCTTCAGTGGTAATAGATGCTGAAGGCATGCAGGATGTAGAGCAGGGTGGTGATGAAGGCAAAGAACTGGAAGAGCCGGGGAGTTACTGCCTTAGAGATGCTGGCAATCACTACCCCCTCCCAGCCCCACACAGGCCCACGGCAGCCTGGATGGCCCTTGTTTTGACCCTGCTTCATCTGCTGCCTGCCTAAGCCCTGTCTGGCCTGAGGGCAGCAACCACAGGGCAGCCCCTCCAGCCTCCGTGAAGCACTCCACCCCCTTGTCCCACTGTGTCACCTGCAGACCTGGGCTCCTCTATCTGCCATAAAGTGGGCCCGTCCCCATGCCTGCCCTGGGTGCCCTCGCCTTGTTCTGGGCACTCTCTCCCTCCTCCACCTTCAGCCATAGTCTGCTCAAATGACAGTTTCACTCACAGGTCCAGAACTCGACTCTACGCACCCACCTCTTAGGTCTTCAGAGGCTCAGAGGCCTCACAAGCTCTCTGTGGGCAAATTGAACTCCTGAGATGCCCTCACCAGCCCAGCTGATCCCAGGATCCTCATCTCGTCCAGCTGCCCAAGCCCAAAACCTGTGCTTCTCCCGACCCCTCCCTCCCCCACGGCCATGTCCAAAGCTGTTCCCGAAGATACCCGGCTGCATTGTCTGGTGATCTCTCGGTCCGGCGGAGGACTCCATCCCCCCTTTGCCCCACCCTGTCCAATCACACTCTGTTTCATTCATTCGTTCAACACATATCTTGTAAGCACCTGCTATGGGTTTCCTCGGTGGCTCAGTGGTAAAGGATCTGCCTGCAATGCAGCAGACGCAAGAGAAGCAGAAGACACAAGTTTAGTTCCTTGGTTGGGAAGATCCCCTGGAGGAGGGCATAGGAGCCCTCTCCACTATTCTTGCCAGGAGAATCCCATGGACAGAGGAGCCTGGCAGGCTAGGGTCCATGGGGTTGCAAAGAGTCAAACAAGACTGAAGCGACTTAGCATGAGCATGCATGCTTCAAGCACAACCATGGATCTAATGGTGAACAAAAATTTAAAAATTCCTTATCCTTAAGGAACTTGCATTTTAGTGGCACATGCAGAAAGGACCCAAGATAACCCAGGAGAGAAGTAGGAGCTACTACTCTGAGTGGGGCTGAGTGGCAGCCTCGCCAGGAGGTGACAAGTGAGAAAAGAACAGAAGGAGGTGAGGGAGCTGGGAGCCAAGGCCGAACTGAGGGGGTCCAGGGACAGCAAGGAGGCTGGTGTGACAGGGGCCCCTGAGCAGGACGAGCAGCACTCCTCCGAGTGGTGGGAGGCAGAGTGGTGCTGGGCTGGGGGGCAAGGAGGCAGACAGGCAGGAAAGGCATCCTGCAAGCTCACCGCGTTGGCCTGGTATCTTTCTGACAAGGGGGCCAGCACCCCATATCACACCCCCTCCTACTGCTGCCCGATCCCTGGGGAGCCCGACTGACACAGGACTTTTCTGGCCACAGAGACTGGAGCTGATGGGCTGGGCCCCAGCCTGGGCGTTAGATCTTCCTGAGAAGGAATAAGGAGGGTTAGGAGCACTTGCATGCACACACACACTGGAGGAACCCACCACCTGCCATGTGGTCACCTGCCACCTGAGGGCACCATCCCTCCAAGAGAGGGACGCGGCCACACTCGGGGCCTGGAAAGACTCCGGCGGCAGGCAGTGAGCTCCGCCCACGACTCTCTGGACCACCTTGCCTTGGATTCCATCAGCCAATGTGTAACCCCGTGGATGTCTGTCGCTGAAATAGAAGGATGCCAGAACTTGAGCCGTGATGAGGAGCTGAGCTCCAGCCTAGCAGCAAAGGGGGCCATTGAAGGATTTTCTTTCTTCATTTTTTAAAATAAATTTTTTATGTGGACCATTTTGAAAAATCTTTAATTTGTTACAATATTGCTTCTATTGTTTATGTTCTGGTTTTGGGGCCATGAGGCATGGTCTTAGCTCCCCGACCAGGGATTGAACCCATAGCCCCTGCCTTGGAAGGTGAAGTCTTAACTACTGGATTGACAGGGAAGTCCTAAGGATTTTCAGTAAGAGATGTGCATTTTGGAAAATTTATGTTTTGGAAAAACATATTCTGAGGGCAGTGTAGTAGGTGTGAGTGAATCGTTAGTCACTCGGTCATGTCCAACTCTTTGCAACCCCATGGACTGCCAGGCTCCTCTGTCCTGGAATTTTCCAGAGAAGAATACTGGAGTGGGTAGACATGCCCTTCTCCAGGGGATCTTCCCGACCCAGGGATTGAACCCCGGTCTCCCTGCATTGAAGGCAGATTCTTCACCGTCTGAGGCACGAGGAGGACAGACGACTCTAAACGTGGGCTTGGCACCCTGTGAGCCTGGGCACACCTGACTGCCAGACCATCTGCGTGCGGGCACGCTCTCACACACGCACACGCACACCCCTCCCATCCCGCAAGGCTGCTCCGGTCTGAGGACGCAGGGCCGTCTGTTCCGGAGGAGACGGAGCTGAGCCCCTGGCTTTCCCTCCGGGTGGCGCCTGCCGCGCTCCCGTCCAGCACTCACCGAGGCCGCGGTGTTTATATAGTAGTTTTTCAGGTCCTGGGTCTCTGACACGATGGTGGCATGCACTTGTAACACGGCGGCACTCATGTACAGGATGCCTGTGGTCCCGTGATACAGGCTGTCCTGGAAAGATGGAGCAGAGGCCATGCCACCGTCACACGGGCACGCAAGCAGGTACCACCTTCCCCTCTGACTCAGCCTCTGGGCAGAGGGGGCGGAAGAGACAAATCTGCTCCCGAAACTCCTGCTTTTTTCTTTCACAGTGTTTCTAGGGAAATTTCTGTGTAATGAGCAATGGCGGACTAATAAATGGCAATACCAGTGTGAACCAAGATCTATTGAGGGCTTCTTCCTGGTCAAACTATAGGCTAAATCTTTTCCTCATGTATCTCATTTAACCTTGTGATCTATGAGGTTGGTTCTATTTATCGTTACTGCCATTTTGAGGAAATAGAAGTCCAAGGTTAAAGTCAGTGACCACAGGCTGAGCCAGGATTTGAAACCAAGCCACATTAACACCAAGCTTTTGCTCCCAGCTGTTAGCGCTACAAAGGCTGCTGTTGGCTAGGTGCTTTCCTGACTGCATACACTTGTGTCGTTTCATCTTCACAGCCAGTTTCATAAGGCAGCTACTATTAACATGCCCACTTTACAGATGAGAAAATCAAGGCTAGGCTGACACATGGCAGAGTTGGGCTAATCTGGTGTCCTTTAACATCGTAAGAATACCAAAGTATTCTGGAAGGAATGTCGTAATAGGCAAATTGGCATTTTGCAACCCCTAAAGAATATTCATCAGAGGATGAAAGAGGACATTAGAGAAAAGAGTGATGGGGTAAGGTTGTCACGGTGAAAGGAGGACTACCAGTCACCATGTGTGATGTGACTTGAAGACACTTATGAAGCATCCTTGCCAGAAAAGTTTAACCTATTTCAGTTTAGCCTTTAGGTGCTAATTTCTGGCTTACAGAAAATTCAGGGATTAGAGGAGTGAGTCAAGTCACACCAGGAAGACGCAAACAAACCAAAATGCAGGACCTTCTACAGCAGTGGTGCCCAGCCTTTTCAGCACCAGGGACCGGTTTTGTGGAAGACAATTTCTATTCATGGACCGTAGGTGGGGGGTTGGTTTCAGGATAATTCAAGTGCATTACATTTATTGTGCACTTTATTTCTATTATTATTATATCAGCTCCACCTCAGATCATCAGACATTAGATCCTGGAAAACCCCTGGTCTATGGGACAGCTGACCACCCAGTTTTTTCAGCAAGTCACCGGCAAGTAAAACCATGATAGTGAGAAGGTAGGAAGGAAGGAAGGAAGGCCAGGAGTCTTCAAATGGAGAAAATAGGATGCAAGTGTCAGACAGTTTTTATCTCTCTCTTAGGCGGCAGGAGGAGACAAACAAGTGTTAGATTTTCTCCCCCTTCTCTATACAAATTTAAAAAGAGGTCTCTCTTAAAATTCTTTGCTGCCGTGAAGACACCTGGCTCCACCTGAACTTAACTTTTCTCAAACCTTGAGCTAACCAGTGCGTTTTTCTCATGGAAATATTTGTCTTAAGCTGTGTTAATGAACTATGTATTTACCCTAGACTCTGTCTTCAAGTTGGTTCCGCCTAAGACTCAGAACCTACATGACAAACCAGTATGTTTTACTCATGCAAATGTTCTCTTAAGCTATGGTAATGAGACTGTTTTTGCTTGGAAACCTGCCTTTCTTCAAGATTCATGTCAATCATTTTATGGCCTGGGACAACTCACTTTGTGCCAATGTTATCTCAAAATGCATGTTGTGGGTGAAGGGCCTGGTGCCAGTCTCTGAGTTTTGAGACATTTCCTTTCTCTAATTAACAGCTTGCTGATAGATATATAACACACCACTTAAAGGCTGGCAGGGGGCAATCTTTCTGCCCCCTTCTGATGTCTATGTCAGAAGCTTGCTCTATCTCTTTTATACTTTAGTAAAGCTTTATTACACTAAAGTTCTGAGCAATCAAGCCTCGTCACTGGCCTCGGGTTGAATTCTTCTCCTCTGGAGGCCAAGAATCCTGGTGTCTTTCGTGGTTCGGCAACCACCTATTGCAAAATAGATTAAAGGTACTCAAGAAGCATCACTACCAAGTGCAAGTGGGCCTGGTGAGGACCTCGATTCAAACAGGTCGACTGCAAAAACATATTTCAGCTATAATGGGAAAGAAAGTGAAGTCACTCAGTCGTATCTGACTCTTTGCAACCCCATGGACTGTAGCCCACCAGGCTCCTCCATCCATGGGATTTTTCCCAGGCAAGAGTACTGGAGTGGGGTTCCATTTCCTCCTCCAGGGAATCTTCCCGACCCAGGGACTGACCCGGGGTCTCCAGCATTGTAGGCAGATGCTTTTACCATCTGAGCCACCAGGGAAGTGACTGTGTTATAACAGGGGACAGTTATAATTTTCCAGGACTGTGACCCGTGTCTTTGATGATAACGAGGAATTATCGTTAACTTTATGTAAGTTTGATAATGTAAGAAAGCTTGTGTATTTTTTGGAGGCATTCTGAAGTGAAGTGTGTAGAATGGAATGACATGGTGTCTGGGATTTACTTTAAGATTCTTTAGGAGAAAAAAAAGCTAGGTGAAGCAAATGTGATAAAGTCTTGAAAATGCTGGAATCTGGGTTATGGTTACATGAGGATCCGTAATATCAATACAATCCTCCCTACTTCTGTTTTGAATTATTCAATATAGAAATATTTCCAGTGGTTATCAGGATGGTGTGATGACATGAAAAATATTTAATGGATGGCATAATAATAAATGAAAGACTCTACATCTAAAATGATTGGTTCAGTGAGATTTATACATTTTGCACAAAATTTGCCAGGAATGGGGAAGAACGAATTGTGATAGGTGATTGTGGTAAGACCTTGAGATCAGGGTTATTCTTTTCCTAATAGATTTCTTTCAATACTGCTCAAATGATTTTACCATAAATTAAAATTAGAGGGAAAATGCGTCAGGATGTGCTTGCTACAGGAGGAGCTGGGCTGTGCGTATATACCTATAAAGGGAGGCAGTGGAGGGGAGTACAAAGCAGGATGGATTCCAGCAGAGGAAGGCTTTTATTCCCATCTAATAGTTGTTGTTGTTTAGTAGATAAGTCGTGTCTAACTCTGGGACCCCATGGACTGTACTCCACCAGGCTCCTTTGTCCATGGGATTTCCCAGGCAGGAATCCTGGAGTGGGTTGCCATTTCTTCCATCAGGGGATCTTCTCAACCCAGGGATCAAACCCATGTTTCCTGCATGTCCTGCATTGGCAGATGGATTTTTTACTACTGCGCCGCCTAGGAAGCCCTATCTAATAGTTGTTGTTCAGCTGCTAAGTCATGTCTGACTCCTTGGACTGCAGCATTCCAGGCTCCTCTGTACCTCGCTGTCACTTGGAGTTTGCTCAAACTCATGTCCATTTGAAGGAGGAAACAGACAGAACAGGCTTCATCTTGAAAGCAGGACTCCATCTTGGGCCGGACTGTGGACTTTGAGCTATATGCCCAGTATCTATGGAAATGACATACCAACTGGAAAACCAGGCCCCCCGGATGAAGGAGCCTCAGGACTTGCACCTAGACTCTCTGTCACCTAAAAGAGTGTGCTAATTATCTCTGTAACAGAACAAAGTCATAAATCCCATTATACTTATGGGGTATCACCACAGGCCTACTGATAAATGTCCACTGTTGAACTATCTAGGCTTATGACACGTGAATCATGGGTTAACTTTGATAGTATCTCTCTTTTACCTTGTCCAGACTAGTTTCAGGAAATTTGGTGAGGTGGGTTTGACCATGTACACTTAGGGTATATAAGGTTTTCACAAAAACTGGTCGGGGTCTTTGGCTAAGAGGAGACTCCGCCTTGGGCCCACCGGTGTAATAAACTACACTCCACTATCGGCATTGTCCTTCTGAGTGAGTTTGTTTCCTGGAACGCGTGGCCACAACACACTGAGTCGGTGATGCCATCCTACTGTCTCATCCTCTGTTGCCCCCTTCTCCTCCTGACCCCAGTCTTTCCCAGCATCATGATCTGATAGTAGACACATTCAGATAAAATGCTGAGATTCCCCAGGGGCCCAGCCCAGGAAGCGTCTCTGGTTCCTCCTCCCACCCAGGAGGCTTCCTCCTCCCACCCGTGTTTGTCCTCACGCCCAGGACAATGGTCTGGGAGGAGCCTCAGGCCCTGGGTCTCTCTTCCTGATTCTTACCAGAATTTTCCAGGACTCATATCTTTTGTAAAATCCAAACACGTAAGACAACAGGAGCATCAGGGAGATGAGGAAAGAGGTGAGCGAGACGTACATCACCCATCCTTGTAGCAGTGGGCTTGCTACCTGGGTGGCTGCCACCAGGATCCAGACCCAGACCCCAAATATCTGTAAGAGAAAACACAGAGGGGCTTCATTGGCTGGTGTTGAGTATGATGTGCTTTGCACATTTCCCATCTCTGTCCTCCTCTGGCTTTGGTTAAGCACTCTTCAGGGCCTTCCCTGGTGGCTTAGATGGTAAAGAATCTGCCTGCAGTTTGGAAGACCGGGGGTCGATTCCTGGATCGGGATGACCCCTTGGAGAATGGAGTGGCTACCACTCCAGTATTCTTGCCTGGAGAATCCTATGGACAGAGGAGCCTGGTGGGCTACAGCCCACGGGGTCACTAAGAGTGGGACAGGACTGAGCGACTAGCACTTTCACTTTCGTTTTTGGTCTTCTACAGTTTGTGCAATGGTGACACAATATGTTGAGGTATGGATACCTTTTTATTAAATATGCTTGGTATTCATTTTATATTCAATATCTGATGATCCCATTGTCTTGGTCTTGAGAGCCTGGTTCTGTAGTTTGTGGCTTTGCTTCTGTTAATGTTCATTCCTATTTACCTTTTCCCTCCTGTATTTGTTGAAGCTTGATTGTGATTAAGATGGTAGGCTTAGCTCAGTTCTAAACAATTCTCTTAGATACTTTTTGTACAAAGAGCTCCACTTACTTCTGTCTAGCTGGGATGAAAGATACACAACTTTCAGGTCCTGGGGCTAGCAGCTCTCATTTTAGGAATAAGTGATACAGAGACACAGATGTGGGCTTCCCAGGTGTCTCAGATGGTAAAGAATCTGCCTGTATTGCAGGAGACCCGGGTTTGATCCCTGGGTCAGGAAGATCCCCTAGAAAAGGGAATAACTAACAACTCCAGTATCCTTGCCTGGGAAATCTCATGGACAGAGGAGCCTGCATGCTACAGTCCATGGGCTGCAAAAGAGTGGGACTCAAGTGAGTGACTAACACTTTCACTTTCAGACAGAAATAAGTCACTCCATCCCTTATGGGGCTCCCACTGCTGTTGTCCTGGAGGTAGAAGCGCTTTTGAATTTATGGAGAGTTCTCAGGCTCTTCCGAAGAGGAAGGCAACAGGAGGAGAAGCCAGAAGAGACCAGCGAGTGTACCATGAGGCAGAGCTTCTTAACCTCTCGCAGGTTGGGAACATCCCCGGAAGCCTGGCTGCCTCTGACAGCACATTGCCCAAGGCCTCAACAAACAATCTCCAGGTGAACTGTGGCAGTCCTAGGCTGGATGCGGGACTGCCCGTGAGCGAGCCGGGGCCACCCCGTTCCAAGCAGGAAGAGTGGAGGGTCAAGAGCTGCTGTCCTCCTGAGCCGGGCTCTTGCGTGTTGATTACAGTGACCAGTGGCTGACGCTGAGGGAGGTGCCGGGCATGGCTTGGGGGCACCTGCCCCACCAAGGCATGAGAAACGCCTGAAGATGCTGGCCCACTGCCAGCACCCAAACAGTGCTGGTTGTTAGCGGCAATTGCATTCAGGACTTAGTGACTGTGCAACCTATAAAATTTTACACTCACATGAAACCTCTGAGGGCAGACAATGGTCTGTGCCACTCACCGATGTATTCCTGGTGCCCAGCCCAGCGCCTAGAGAAAAGCAGGTAGGGAGGGTGTCAAAGAGCATTCTTTGGAATGACTCAATGATAAACCCATGGGCTTCCCTGTTGGTAAAGAGTCCACTTGATGCAGGAGACCCAGGTTCATTCCATGGGTGGGAAGACTGCCCTGGAGAAGGAAATGGAAACCCACTCCAGTATTCTTGCCTGGAGAATTCCATGGACACAGAAGCCTAGTGGACTATAGTCCATGGGGTTGCAAAGAGTCAGGCACAACTTAGCAACTAAACCACCACGATGATAAACCCACCACCACTGCCTCTCGTTCACTAGGGGCTTTAAGGTTATAAAGTGCATTCACAGAGGCGTATTCACCACTGGTGGTCCAGTGGTTACGAATCCAACTGGATATTCAGGGCACATGGGTTCCCCCCTGGTCCAGGAAGATCCCACCCACATGTGTGTGTGCCACGACTACTGAGCCCCATCTTTAGAGCCCACACTCCACAACAAGTGTAGCCCCCACTTATTGAAACTAGAGGAAGCCCTCACACAGCAATGAAGACCCAGCACAAAAACAAATATATAAATAAAATGCATTTGTTCAGATGGCCTCATTTCGTCTGTACAGGAATTCAAACTCCCGTGGGCTCTCTATAGCGAGCTGCCACTTGATACCTGCCGCCTCTTGCTGCCAGCTTCCCTGCCTCACCCCTACCAGGCCCCTCAGCGCTGGCAAAGCCTCTCCCACCCCAGCTCCTGCCATCAGAGACCACCCTGGGCAGACACTACCGCACGTGCATCTTCCGCGTGTCCGCACTTCACTCTCACAGTGTGTTAGACGCTGCCCTCGTGGGGAGCATCGGGAGAAGGAAATGGAAGGAGGGACTGAGGTCCGAGGCCACGTGGGCCCCAGAGCAGGGCCCCGGTGGGCCTCTCCTCCTAACCATCATGCGCCAAGGGCAGGGCCCCTGAGCATTTGGGAGAATCTACTCAAATTGCCCCGCTTCTTCTTGGTGTAAAGGTTGCACAATCAGCTTTATGCAAAGGAATGTTATTTGCTTTTTATTTCCACACCCTCTATCTTCTGAACATTAGAAGGGAACCAAGGCCACGGCCAAACTCCAGGTGAATTTAAAGCTAGTGGAGTTTGCTATCCTGTTTCTGTCTCAAGCAGCCTTGGTTGGATTCAATACAGGGAAAACAATTTCGAATATTTGTCTTGACTTTTTTTTCTAAACTTATATTTAGCTTTCTAAATTTGCTTGGCAACCTAAATCGTTCTCTCCTTTTAACCCTCATTTTTGGATATCTCAAGAGCTGGAGATATTTTTAGATGTTGGGGGCTGGCCTTCAACTTGGAAGAAGATTGTATTAAAGGCAGATATTTCAAGCAAGTGTATTTCAAGTACTATTTTGGCAGTGTGTTTCTTAAGAACAAACACAGATTACTCACCTGTGCGTTTTCTAAAGGTTGAACTGAAACTGGAAGGGATCACTTAAGGGAGGGTAGAGCTTAACAGTAAGTTTATTTATTACTCATTCTTCTCTGAAACATGAAGAATAGGCCCCTCACATTTAGAGAGCTGGTTAAAGAGCTAGAGGGGGAGAACGGGGGTAACAGCACCCAGATGCAGTCAGGGGCAATGGCCAATTCCAGGTCAGGGCTGGGGAGGATGACATATCATCAGAGCAGACAGCAAAATGCTTTCAAAGGCTCTTGGGGTTAGGTCAGAAGGATTCAGAAGGTTGCTGCTGACTAAAGATGGGGCAATTTGACCTTCAGATAAATACAGTAACTACTATGGATTGCGCCTAGTCACTCAGTCTTGTCAGACTCTTTGCGACCTCATGGACTGTAGTGCACCAGGCTCCTCTGTCCATGGGATTCCGCAGGCAAGAATACTCGAGTGGGTTGCCATTTCCTTCTCCAGGGGATCTTCCTGACCCAGGGATCGAACCCATGTCTCTTGCATTGGCAGGCGTGTTCTTTACCACCACACCACCAATGGGTTGGACTGTATCAACCAAGTTGAAATCCATGAGTTGAAAATGATGCTTTTAAAAGCCCTACTTTGGTCATTTTTGGAGGATGCTTATTATTTTGGAAGGCAGCCATGTTTACCACTATACCGCCAATAATTATTATTTTGAAAAATACTTAATAAAGGAAAAGAATTATGCCAAATGCGTGGCATAAGGGTAAGGAGCTTCTAAAATACATAAATTCCTGAGCCTTAACCCTCAGAGCCACACCCTGAGTCCTGCTACTCCTGGGACCATCCGGGAACTTTGAGGAAGCCCCAAGGTCTGGGTGTTGCCCCAGAGATTCCGATGGAGTTGGTGAGAGAGGCTGCGTTGTTAAAAATTTTCCCAGATGAAGCAGTGAAGACTGAGAAGCCCCAGGGCCCATCCTGTGGCTTCCAGGCTCTTCCACTCCGGTTCATGCAGAAGCAGTACTGATGCTTCCGGGTTCAAATCTTAGCTCTGCTGAAGGGGCAGGTTATTTAACTCATCTCTGCGCCCATGTCCTGGTTCATCAATCAGAGGAGGTGGGGAGGACTCCTCTCTTCTGGTTCCTGTGAGCATTAGACGAGTCTCTCATGCACAGGGTGAGTGTTGAGCAACCATTGGCTGTGTTATTAGCTATAAGGATATGGGAGGGACTCTTCCCTGAGAAAGACCCAGGAGAGGGGAAGTCCAAGGCCAGTGATCCTGAGGGATAGGAGGCTCACTTCCGGAAGAGCTGGGACACCAATTGGTGAGGAGATGAGAGAGCATTGAGGGGGCACAGATCTTTCTAAGGAGGTGATGAAAGCTTTGGTCACCTAGAAAAATGTGCCTGCATACATGCGTGACTTTATCTACAAATGTGGGGACTCACAGTCCCTCCAAGGCCACCTGCAGCCCCCAGGTCAAAATCCGTTACCATTTCCAGGATAGATAACGGTGCCATCAGCCAGTCTACTATTTTGATGACGTTGATCAAGATATTAAATGCATATACTCTTTGACCCAGTAATTTCACTTTGGGAATTTGTCCTATAGACAACGCACATGCACAAAATGGTGAATATACAAGGTTGTTTATTGAAGCCTGCTGGTTACAGAAAGATAAAGAAGCATCCCAAATATTTCATCCAGTGGAGGGGGGGGTTGTGAAAGCAATTATGTCATACAGCGGAAAACTCAGCGGCCTTCAAAGAGAATGAAAAACTCTGTATATCAGAATAGAAAAAACCCTAGAATTGTACAAGGCAGAGAGCAGCGTGCCCAGAGTGCTATGATTTACATAGAAGAAGAAGAGAATGTATAGCGTATGTATGTGTATATGTGCATTGGTTTGAATATTTCTGGAATGAGACCCAGTGAACCAGTCATGCCCTGGCCTCCTGGGAGGAGAATTTCTTGGCTCAGAGACAAGATCTTTTAAATGAATCCAAATCACCAATATACACATTGAAAAAGAAAGAAGGGCACTGGACTG